GTCCATCTCATTCCCGTGAATACTACGAATACCGCCGACGAGCTGGCTATGATATATCTGCGTGAAGTCGTCCGACTTCATGGACTACCCGAGTCCATAGTCTCAGATAAAGACAGCAAGTTCACATCGAAGTTCTGGAGAGAACTGCATCGACTCATGGGAGTCAAATTAATGATGTCCACCTCTTTCCATCCCCAGACCGACGGTCTAACGGAACGGACTATCCGTTCCATTACTCAAATTCTGAGGGCATTGGTCTCTCCGGACCAGCTCGATTGGTACGAGAAGTTACCACTAGCAGAATTCGCGCTGAATTCAGCGACGAGTTCTACTACGGGCTTCGCACCGTTCGAACTGAACTAAGGATACTTGCCCCGGTCCATGAGTGGAATTCGAACGGATACTCCGTTTCAGGGAGTGCGCGAGTTCGCCCAGCGAGCTCTGGCTAACCTCGAACGCGCTCATGACGCTATTATCGAGTCCCGGATCTCTCAGGCTTATCACGCCAACAAACACCGGCAGGCTGAGCCGGAGTTTGAGGTCGGCGACCTCGTATACCTGTCCACGAAGAACTTATCAGTTCCGAAAGGACGTGCACGAAAGCTTGTGCCCAGGTTCATCGGACCATACAAAGTCCTCGAAAGCTTTCCGAACACGTCGAATTACGTGCTAGACCTCCCACCGGAGCTTAAGAACCGACGCATTCACCCGCGTTTTCATGTTTCCCTACTGCGGAAACATGAGGCAAACGACGATGCGTTGTTCCCTAAGCGGGAGGCCCGCGCATTCTACGACTTCGGAGCGGACGATACCGCGGAATGGTTGGTGGACGAAATCGTCGGGCACGAATGGACAGGACAAAAGTGTCAATTCCATGTGCGGTGGACGCTCGGAGACCACACCTGGGAACCTTACGAGCACTGTAAGGACTTGGCCGCACTAGACGAGTATTGTCGTCTTATGGGTGTCAAGAACTGGCGCAGTTTACCCCGTAAGAAGTAGTTGCAGCCGCAACTAAACACTTAAGTAAGTGTTGGTCGGGGGCGACCGCAGGGAACGGAGCAGAGTAGACGCGCGTCGGCATGGATGAGCGCGATCACGTGGGCGCGAGACGCGACGCGTCGCGGGGATCTGGCAGATCGGGCAGAGATTCGAACTCCGCCGGCGCTCGCGAGCTCGCCGTCCTAAGCGGTGAGCTCGCTATGTCGCAAGTCGATCTCTGCCACCTCACCACCATCCACCCACAACGCACCCGCCCGCGACATCCACCATGTCCAACCCCTCCTCGCCCACTTCCAACCAGACCGAGATGGTCTTGGACCCGGCGGCGCAGAACGCGCCTCAGCAGCAAGGCGCTGCGATGCAGCCGGACTCAGCTGGGTCCCAACAACAGCTCCCCGCACCGTACCAGGTGCCCAACCAGTACGCAGGGGCGGGGCCGTCGCATGCGCCACTACACCCGATGGCGCAAGGCGGGTTCCCGCACGCGTACGCCTCCCCGTACGGGGCACCGCTCCCCTACCAGCACCAGTCGCCGCCAACAGTATCCTCGGCCACACTACACCCAACGGTGCAATATGCTCACGCGCCCGCATCGTCGAGCATGCCGGGGCCCGACCGGTCGAACGCAGCGCCGTTCCTACCCCCTGGAATGCCTCCGCTCATGCCCATTCCGGGGTATGTCGTGGGCAGCGGTCCCCAATCACCACCTCCTTGTGACGCACTTCGG